TTATTAATTTTAAATTTTAATTTAAAATTTTTGTCTCATTTATTATTATTCTTTATTATTTTAATCAATCTTCTTGGCCACTTTCGTGGGCTGTGTCCAAAATTGGAAACTGTCCTAACCTAACTCAGTCTGAACAAAAGAATATACGTACAGTACAGTTTATCTGTATTGGTATATTTTTTAGTAGTACTCTTATATATGTTTTTGAAAAAAAAAAAAATTAATTAAAAATGGGAAGTAGTTTTTCTACTGTTTCAGACTAGATCTTGATGTTTGACCAGCGCAACTATGGACTGAACCCGGGCGGCCATGCTTGACTGCCCGTGCGTAATTAGCTAACTTAACGGGATTAAGAAAGTCAATGCATATTTGGATGCGTTCATTTTCATTTTATCAAAATAAAGTAAAGGATTCGCCTTTTTCAATTTTTATTCCTACTTTTGGCAAAGGTAAAGCTTCTCAAAGCCATAACTTTGGCTTTCCCTTTTCTCCAGTGAGAAATTTGTCATCATTTTAGGATGAACGGCCTCCAACCTCCTCCGATTCCGGCAGCCGGATCCACCGGCGATGTGGGTCTGGTTAGAACTTACAAGTCATGGAAAGCCAACAATGTAAGTTTGCAACTTTATACCTACTTTCGCCTTTGTTTGATTGATGGAAGATCTGAATTGGGGTTTGCTTAATGGGATTTCGAAGTTTAAGAATTGGGGGGTTTGATGCTGCTAGAGGGAACAAGATTTGGTTTTGTGTGGTGGGTGGTAGTGATATAGAGTGACCAAGGAACTATGGTGGTCAAATGCAGTTGCTTTGGTTTTCAATCTTTGTTTCTTTTTATGGAATCAAATATCTTGACAGTTCACCCGACTTATTGGTTATTTATTACAAGGGATCACTTGGGTATTGCGTATCTTCGTTAAGCTTGTGTTGCAGATTGTAGGCCTGCATACAATTTTATTTCTTGGTGAAGAATATGATTTATGCCATCGTTTTTATTGCATCATTTCCATATTGAAGCATATTGGAGATTATTTAAGTGGAAAAGTACATTAATTCTGTTAAGATCAACATTAGGAAATCAAGTTGAGTAGTCGTCTCATGTCCAAATCAGGTTGTGGTAGTTAGTTGTAGGAGTTATGCATATTTCAAGGTTTCTTTCTTTGTTTTCTCAGCCCTTGTTGCTTGTTTTATCTTGCAGATATTTTGTCTTCAGGGGAGGCTTATATTTGGACCTGATGCACGGTCTCTTTTCCTCACTATTTTCCTAATTGTTGCTCCAATTTCCGTTTTCTGTGTCTTTGTGGCAAGAAAGCTGCTGGATGACTTTCCTGTTCACTATGGAATATCGATTATGACCATTGTTGTAGTTGTCACCTTATGTGTGAGTTTATTTCCTTTGTAAACTCTACTCGCTCATCTGCTATGAGCAAGCCCATGCATTTCATATTACATAATCTCAATACAACATCAGTCTCCATATTCACAATTTTTGTTATATATTGTGTCAACTATTGCTGTATAATCTGGTTTTTGAACAAAGTGTATATGCATGCTTCACTCTTTCACCGCCCCTACCCCCCGTTCCCTTTTGGCATGTGGCTAAGAATCTATTTAAAACCATTTGGTTATTCAAATATAAATCCTGGCTTGCTACTGAGAAATCCTACCTTAAAATGCATTTACTTTCTGTGGCCAGTACCTTGATTCTGATATTTACAGTGCATGGATTGATGCATGCTAAAGATTTTGGAACATGCTTGCATTCTCTTTGACAACAGTGTTGAATTGTTGATTCTTGCAGGTAGCACTGCACCTTTGTGTGTGTGTGTTGCCATGCTTAAAAGACTTTTTTAGTTGTTGATTGTTGCAATTAAATTTCTAGTCAAATTATTTTCTGTAGTAATTACTATGGATGCTGAAGGTGCCAGATTTCATGGTAACTGCTGTAATGTTGAATTGATGAATATTTTGATGTTTTCTTTTTCCAGGATATAATTTTTCTTCTACTAACCTCAGGAAGAGATCCTGGTATAATTCCACGAAATTCTCACCCTCCAGAACTAGAAGATTATGAAGGAAGTAGTGAAGTTAGGGCTGGCCAAACTCCACCTCTACGCTTACCCCGCCAAAGGGATGTGGTTGTCAATGGCATAACTGTGACGATCAAGTACTGTGACACCTGCATGCTGTATAGACCTCCTAGATGTTCTCACTGTTCAATATGCAACAACTGTGTGGAAAGGTTTGACCACCACTGCCCTTGGGTTGGTCAATGTATTGGACTGGTATGTAATTTCTTATATGGTACTTTCTGCTCCCTTGATCAATGCTATTGTCAGTGGTAGAGCTTTTGTTTTAAGGTACCCTGAAAAGAATTTGTTCTATTTCATCTTATTATTTCTAGGCCAAGCCATTAACTTTGCCATTTTCATCTTCTCCTTTCCCTCCAAAGTTTGAGTCTTACATTGTGTGAGTTATTTGTTTTCTTAAATGCAGTTCTGTCATATCCATAAGCTTGAAGCTCGATTGTGTGTGTTATTATGTATTCCATTGAATAAGATTCTTATACAAACTATAGAAGTTGAGAAGATTGTAATTTGTTTGATTTTTCCTTAATGAATTCTCTTTAGTCATAAAGGTGTTGTAAAGAACATATGTACTGACATTTCTTTCTTTTTTTTTTTCATTTTTTTTTTTCTTGATCAGCATATGTACTGACATTTCTAAATTGGTCTTTTTCATTCTCTGCAGCGGAATTACCGGTTCTTCTTCATGTTTATCTTCTGTACAACTCTTCTTTGCTTATATGTACATGGTTTTTGCTGGGTGTATATCAAGAGAATCATGGATAGCGAGCAGAGTACCATCTGGAAAGCAATGGCCAACACTCCTGCATCCATAGCGTTACTGGTCTATACCTTCATTTCAGTTTGGTTTGTTGGTGGTCTAACTGTCTTCCATTCTTATCTAATCAGTACAAACCAGGTAAGAAATTCTTTCGTGTAATTGGATCTTGTAGTCACTGTCTGAATCTTTTCTAGCTTATTATCCTTCTAAATAGCAAGTCCTTGTACTCGGAATTCACAAGAGATGTGTAGTTTACTAAATATTTGCTTTTGCCTGTAACATCTTGGTTCCTTTTTCTGTGCTGTGCAGTCTACTTATGAAAACTTTAGATATCGGTATGATGATCGTTCAAATCCATATAACAGAGGGGTGATTAAGAACTTTATGGAGATATTCTGCACTGGTATTCCTCCATCAAAGAACAATTTCAGGGCAAAGGTTCCAAAGGAGCCCATGGTTCCACCTAGAACAATAAGTGCCTTTTTCAGTCCAAACAGGGGGAAAATCGTTGGTGACATAGAAATGGGAAGGAAGCCAATTTGGCTTGAGGCTGGAGGAGGGGCAAGTGACTATGAAGGCCAACTCAGTGATGATGGCATGGGAAAGGATGATGGTTTAGTTGATGTATCTCCTGATTTAAGTAGAATCCTTCCCCCAGAGGGGACAGAGGGGCGTGGTGTCTTGCTTCAGACTAAGCAATATAGTCGCGGAAGGACTAGTGAAAGATGGGGAATATCACCTGAGATTCTTCCTTTATCCAGACTTGGCGAATCAAAGCGAGTTAATGATGGTGGTGATTGAACCCTGACAAAGGAGATTCAATGATGTTAAACAGCTCTTCAAAATGTAAAGGAAATATATTTACTTATAAAAATGGGATTGAAACGAGAGGGAGGAACGGAGAAGTGTTGTAGGTTTGAACTGAATTTACTGGGGACTAAGGTGTGTTTTAGTGTGTGAGACATAACTCTTTTTTTTTTTCCCCCTTTTTCTGGGATACACGCTGCTGTATTCCTCCCCAAAAACATTTTTTGTGAGTTTTTCTACGAATTTCCAGCCTATTCAATACATTCAACTTCCTGTTCAACAATTATTTTCTTCCACAAAACGGAAGCGTACTTATTTCGTTATGGTTTCTAACTCCAAATCAAATATCAACCAATAGTTAGCTTTCAACAAAAGCTTAACTAACTTTGTTATAAAATTTTTAATATTTAAATCTTTATAATGCTACACGGACAAGTAATTATAATATAATAATAATAATAATAATAATAATAAAACTATATTTACTGTCAATCGGGAAAGAATCAAGTCTCATGTCGTTAATTTATGAAACATTCAAACTTACAATTACCAATACCAGTACAAAGTTCGAATAAAATTAGAGAGTCTCACTACTAAGAAAAAGGGCCATATTCTGTGACCAAAGACAAAATGTCAATCCTCCTTGAAATTCACTGCATGGACTGAAAGCGTTTCATGATAATGAGGCTCATGTCCGTGTAACGTTGAGCACAATTGGAAAGACAAGCTGACTCACTTGAGCTGAATTTGCTCCCGGGGGTACCAGTGATGCATTTGTCCCAGCATTTGTTTGTAAGCTTGGCGACCACCTCATTAAGCATAGCCTTCTCCTTCTCTTGCTGTACATCCACAAACCAATCTATATGTCTCAACATTTTGGCAAACCAACACATGAAAATAGCAGTAGCAATAAGTGAACTACAATTAAACTATTTCGAGGTTCAACAATTCACAACTGCTTACAAACCTTGAGGTACATGAATTTATAAAAAGAGAAAACTTCAAACAACCTCCATGTCATCTAGACTTTTCAAATAATCCCTTGTAGTTTACTATGACACTATTAACCCCCTTGTCGTATATGGATTAAATTAAACTTCAGTTGGAGACTATAAACCATAATTTAGATGGTAAAGCTAACATTCTCACACAATGTAAACCTCACGGTGTCAGGGGCACACTGAAACCAGCCCAGCTTAACCACAGAGAGATGGGGAAGTCCTTTTTCCATCACTCAAGCCACCTTATTACAAATATAAGCGGCTGAAAATAACCAGCCCTAAAATCAAATGATACCATCAACAAAACCACAGAGGCTGAAAATAACCATAACCAATATAACCATAACATTATGGTTGCCAATAAAAATAAGAAAAACATAGCATTATGGGCTCTATTAATAACATAGTCAAAATCACAGACAGTGTGATTGACATACTTAAAGACCCACCATCTGCCCTACAGACTAGAAAAGGTTCAAGGTTGAAAATAACCAGTGTAACTATAACCCAACGGGCAATGCTAGTAATATAACTGAAAGTGACAGCGGGGGAGTATCAAAGAAAAGGAACCGCAAGACTGCATCTTAAGAAAGAACAGGCACCAAAAAAAAAAAAAAAATTATCTGCTTGAAACTAGAACTCGCCGTCTCACATACCACTAATAAGTCAGAATTTTGAAAGCATCAAGATATAATTTGTTATAATTTCTATAATGGGTGAAGAAAATAGAACTATTTCTTTATGAAACCAAACCAGTAACAAAACCAAAACCGCATCTATAAAGAATGGACCATTAACGAAAAAGTTTGCATCTTTATGAAGTTGGGATAAATAATAAACTAGGAGAAGTAAAACTGCCTACCCTTTTCTTCGCACCAAAAGGGCATACATATATTTTCATGATCGAACCAAAAAACGTAACGAAAGATGAGCAGCATGAAAAGCAGTAAAAAGATTATGAAGAATATGAAATTTTCTGATCGAAGAAAAGGCGAAGAGATTACATACGTTAAGGAACCGCTGCAATTCAGGGGAACCAAGAGATGATGGATCCATCTGAGAAACTAAAATCGAAGCTGCTTCGCAATCAGGTGCTAAAACCCTCTTTCTCTTTCTCTTCTTGGACAAGTTCTCCAAAACCCTAAAATTGAAGAAACTAAGCAGACTAGAAAGGTTGAGCTGGGCCCAGTTTTTAGATTTCATGGGCTAAACCCTTACTCTTTTTTTGAACTAGGTCCTAATTAAAATTTATGTTTTCTGGGCCGAATTTATGTTCTTTATTTTTTT